AAATAATCCAGGTTTGGATATAAATGCGGGCTGCATTTCATTAATTATCTTCAGCTAAATAAAAGAACAAATCAAATGCAACTTCGGTTATGTTCCAGGCTCTGGCAACCTTTTGGAGGTTAAATTGTCTGTTACATGGCAGGAATGACTGTCAACAGTCTTGTTCTTATTCATTGGCTGTAAGACAAAAACATAAGCAAAATATTAACATTGAATTCTTTATTTGGGGATAGCTACCTCCTCTCTCATTATGTAATGACCATTGTCCTCTTGGAAAAAGAAAGAACAAGATCGAAGGGCGGAAATTTTGCTGCTACACTTGTGCGCCGTGTCCAGAAAAGATGATATCTAGACAAATGGGTAAGATTCATGGCATCCCAATGGAACCAGGTCTGAAAGCCTGAATCCCAGTTAACAAGAATCTCTTCAACATTATTGCTTGCTGTATTAATGCATCACAAAGGAGGAAAAGGAAGAGACATCAGTGATGTCTTCTACCTTAGCGGTCCCCAATTTTTGCAGCTTGGTGGACAGGCAAGGGTGTTGAGGGAGAGGTTCTATGTGAGTGGCAGGCGTGCATGAGCAACTCCATTTGCGCAAGTGGCAGTCATCACTGATGTCTCTTTCTTACCCTTTTCCTCCTTTGCTTACTTGCCGCTTACGTGGCCTGGTTCCAAATGGGCCACGGCCCAGTAGCGGGCCATCGCCAGGAGGTTGGGGACCCCTGCTCTACTCCATCTTTCTATCCTTGAGATTGAATCACATTCAAATGATGGTGCACATCACATAAAGGAAGCAGTAATCAAGTAGCTCCTGTTCTCCTATCCTCTAGTGCTACTGCAAGTTTTTCAGGATCTAAAGTATCAAAAATCTCTTTTCTCTTTCCCATTAGTTGGCACACGTTTAGAAAATGGGACATGTTATTGCTCAGAAATGTTATAAAACCTAGTGTACTTGAAAATGCCAAGAACATCTAAGTAGTGTTTCCCTACAGTACTCGTTTTTAAAATGTAGGTTGAAGAGAGAGTTACAAAAGAATTTAGACAACACTTACATTGCAGGTAAATACAGAGAAGCAATTCTGAAACTTTTGAAAAGTTTGAGTCTGTTCAGAAACACTTTCCTTCTTTTCAGACATGGAGAATTGTGACAATTGTCCAAAGTATCAATTTCCAAATGAAGCTCATGATGAGTGCATTCCAAAGACAATGAATTTCCTCTCCTTTGAAGAGCCACTGGGCATTACTCTGGTTTCTCTGGCTCTTCTCTTTTCCCTAGTTACAGCTTTGGTGTTTATAATCTTCATCAAGCAACGGGATACTCCCATTGTCAAAGCCAACAATCGCAACCTCACCTATATTCTACTTATCTCTCTCTTTCTCTGTTTCCTCTGCTCACTTCTGTTCATTGGACAGCCCAATAAGGTGACCTGCCTCCTCCGACAAACAACATTCGGTATCATCTTCTCTATTGCAATCTCTTCTATATTGGCCAAAACCATCACAGTTGTTGTAGCGTTCCTAGCATCAAAGCCAGGAAGCCTATTCCACAAATGGGTGGGGCAAAAGTTGGCCTATTCTATTATCTGTGTCTGTTCCTTCATTCAAGTAAGTATTTGTGCCATTTGGCTTGGTACTTCTCCCCCATTTCCAGATTTGGACATGGAGACACTCTATGGAGGAATCATCACAGAATGTCACGAAGGCTCCATCATCATGTTTTACTGTGTTTTGAGCTACATGGGCCTCTTGGCTCTTCTCAGCTTCACTGTGGCCTTCCTAGCCAGGAAGTTGCCAGACAGTTTTAATGAAGCCAAGTTCATCACTTTCAGCATGCTGGTTTTCTGCAATGTTTGGTTGACCTTTGTCCCCAGCTACCTGAGCACCAAAGGGAAATACGTGGTGGCTGTGGAGATCTTCTCTATCCTGTCTTCCAGTGCTGGCTTACTGGGTTGCATCTTTATCCCCAAAATCTATATAATTATACTGAGGCCTGAGCTCAACACTAGAGAGTATTTAACATGTAAGAAATAGAAAAAAGAACAAAATCTAATTTTTACAAGCAAATACTAATTGGATGTGTACATACAGTATTACCTCTCTCATATATGAGTAATCTGACAGAGCCACTTTGAATTTTTCTCTCCAAACTCAATTAATAGAAAAGTAAATCTGTTAGGAAACATATTATCCATGTAGCTAATAAAGTCTGAATAAATTTGACTTTCTTTCACCACAGATGGTGATGGTTATTTGGGGAGAGGAATACTTTAATTTTTTTCAGGGAAGCAATTTTCTGTGTGATTTAGTTGTTCTTTTGGGGTTTTCAATGTTTCCCATACCAATTCTATGAGTAAGAAAAGAACTGGGTCATTATCAAATTGACATTAGAAAGAATATACTATGAACAAACCTCAAGATTCATTAGATTCTTGAGTGATTTTTCTGTCTTCTATAAAACCATTGACTAATTGGATTTTGTCACCAAAGCTGATAATACATTCACTATTGAACTCTTTGCTTGACCCCCAACTCAATACATAAATCTTGCCAGCTGTACATTACTTTTGAGGAATTATGTTAATGGACGGTTCTTGATAACAGGAAACTTTTAATACAATAAAGAAAGATTTCTCTGTTGCAGGTGAAATCAAGTATTTCCAAATGTAAACCTTGCCTTTTTGTGGTTTTGCTTGATTAGAAAAGGAGGAGATAGGGTAGTATTGTGATCCTGATTTCAGGTAAAGCAATCAAATCAGTCTGAAGGAACTTTCAAAAAGTCTTAATGAAACCTTAATCCATCGTACTGCACATGATGTGACATTCTGGAAATTTTTTGCAGTACAGCCATCAGTATATTTCTGGAACCATCTAAATATATCGGAATAGGCTGGACCAGGCCTTCATATTTCCATTCCTAATTATCAAGCTGGATCCTTCTAGAAGTTGCAAAAGGTTCTGCCTTGTTCCACACATTCTCTTCTGAAAGAAGCCATTTGATTTCTCAGATATTCAGGGGAGATGCATCTTTCCATCCAGTTACATTCTTTCTTGGCAAGAACTTTGGATCCCAATGACATAGGGATTACATGTCTCCTCCCAAAAAGTGGACTGTCCAGTTTAGCAATATTATGATTTGAGGGGTCCTTGGTGCTCTCTGAGCTTCCTTGTTTTCTTGCAGACATTTCATAATCCAACTAGGTAACATCATCAGTGCTAGTAAAGGAGTCTGTTTGCTGTCTGTTTACATTTTGGTGTCTTGCCTGTCTGGTGGGTCTTAGAGATTCTTTGGTTGGGCTGTCTACTAATGGCTTTTTGGCAGTTTCTTGACTAGGGTATTGCTTACTTGATTGTTGGTCAGAAGGTGACCCTGGATTTAATCTATGCTGTTCTGAGTGCTGATTATTGATGAGGAGGTGCTAGAGTCTTTTACTGTTTGGGGCTGGTTGAATGTCTCTTTTGCATAATCTATAGATGTTGTTAATGTCTATGTGCCTATTGATGGCTGATTTGTCAGAGTGCCAGGCTTCTAGAAATTCCCTGGCATTTTTTAATTTGGCCTGGTCTAAGATTGTCACATTTTCTCAATTGAAACTATGGTTAAATCTGTCTATATGTTGTGAAATTAAAGAATTTTCGTCATGCCTTTTGACTGCCAATTGGTGTTCATGGATGCGTTCTGCCAGTCTTCTGCCTGTTTGTCCTACATAGTGGTTGTTGCAGTTCTTACATTGTATGTAGTAGATTATTCTTGTTTTTTCTTCTGGGGCTGCTGGGTCTTTGGGTTTACTTAGGATGTTTTGAAGGGCTTTAGTTGGCTTGTTTGCTATGCTGATTCCATGTGGTTGTAGTGGTCTATTTGCAGTTTCTGAGATATTCTTGTTATATGGCAGTGTAATTCTTTTTAGGGTTTGTGTTGGTTGTGCTGTATTGGGTTGAGTGGTCAAGGACATTTTGATAAAGTTGTGTGTGTATTCATTTTGTGGGAATGTGTTATATAGATGCTCCATTTCCTTTTTATATTATATTATGACTTCCCATCTAGATGGAACTTTTCTATCTCATGGCATCTGCTGATCAAACAATACTAATAGATAATCATGAGGAATTAAAACAGTTCCTAAATATGTTAGCTTACTAAAGGTGCATTTAATACTAATTCTGACTACCACTTTATGTGGATTAGAGCAGTTTTATCTTTCTGCTCTTCCTCTTTGATTGCGTTTAACAGGCCACTCTGAGAAATTATAGACCTCAAGGTCAGCTCTTCAAGCTTCTCCCAGAGCAAATGGCAAAAGCTTCCTGTGGCATCTCACAAACATGTTTGCTTCACCATTTCAATGAGAAGTTACCATATCTCAAGTTATCACACACACTGTGATTAAATCACCAGGTCAATCCTCCAGTGGCTCTCAAGATGCTTCTGAAGAAATTACCGGGGGGGGGGGGGATTCCAGAATAGATATATATATCCAATACATTGTTCCCTGCTGGGGGCCATTCCTCAAAACTGGTTGAAGTGTTCCCCAACCATTGCAAGGTCAATAAGAGAACTGCTGCCATTGGTTGGGTTCTTAGGGTTTTATATTTGTTGTTCATAGCACAAATATGTATATATAGTCATTGTGGCTTTTGTGCTAATATTTTTAAACTGTTGATTAGACAATGCCAAGTCCATTTGGCAGCTGATAAATTCTCTTTTAATTTCAATAAATTAAACTAGCTGCATCATTTCACATATGTGAGATATATGCCTTCACACTTCACACCAATATGCTAACTCACTGGTTCTATCAGCTCAACAGGACAACTGTCTTGGAAGAATTTGTATAAGACAAATGAAGAGAGACTGGGAGACTGAGAGAAAATATTGTGGTGGCCAAGGTCTTATGGTGGTTCTTTAAACTGCAAGTTAAGAAAGAATGAAAAATTAGGTACAGTATTAGAGTTGAGAGCAACTCTGTTCTTTCACACTTTGGCATCAAGACCTAGTTAAGCTTAAGACAACAGTTCAGATCAAATATTGAAGCATGGCATATTCTTAAGACAGATACCAAGCAGTGGTATCACTGTCTATAGCATCCTGTTTGAATCAAGGCAATACAGGATAGACCAAATGAGCAGGAATGTTGGGTATTATTGCCGTATTTTTGCTTCAGGAATTGGCCATGAAGGTACAACCTCTTAAATGCACTGGAGAGGAAGCCCTTAAAATTCCACAGGAATGGTACCAGGATGGAGAACTTCTCATTGGTGGATTGATGTCCCATGTCCATTACTTGTTCCCCGAATTTAGTTTCAACAGACATCCTTTTGAAGAATCAGTTGACCTCCCATTGTAAGAAATCACTCTCTTATCTGATTTTAATCTAATCCATCTCTATTCTTTCCATCCATATAAAATAGGGAGGTTCTTTCAATGTGCCATATGTTTAAAGATATAAGGTGTCATGGACATATCCTTTACAATAGCTTGAAGTCCACCTGATCTACTTCAAAAAGATTATGGGGCATCTTGCAATCTTTGAAAGAGCATTTCAAAGTTGAATACAAAAGTTCACAAGAAGGGTAGAAATGTGGGCTCTTTTACTCACAATCTTTTCTGAAGAAATAAGAAGGAATGAGGACATGGAAGGAAAAGTGAATTCATAACCATATGGCTATGTTCTTCAGCTTTACCTTCTTCATCAATAAGATCTGTAATATTTTCTCCCAAATTTATTCCACTCAGCTTAGATTCTTTCTACAGTAAATTAGAAAAAAATCTCATTGAAAAATCAACCCATTCTGTTTCTTCCAACTGAGTAACCTGTCTTCTCTTCAGAATCTGGGCACATATCTTCTGAGAATTAGTGATTAATGCCATCAATTATTTTTTTTAATTTCAAAGGGCAAAATATTTAGTTTTTACAACACTTTTGATCTCATTCTGCAGGAGGTCCTCGTAGTTATAAGATGAATGTTTTGTAGTTAAGGATTGAATAACAGTTTAGTAAGGACTAAAACTTGCATGGAGAGTATAATATGACAATAAACTCTCCTTTCTAAGGGCAGGAAAAATGAGAATTCTTTTGTAAACCTCTTCTACATGACAACTATTAAGATATTTCAGGAATTTTATCATGTCAACCTTCTATAAAGTCTTTCATGGTTTCTCCAATTATTCCATGCATGACTTTATATTCAGTCATGCTGAAGACTTTTCCTTTAATGTTTTTTGGTATCCCAGTTAAAATACCTCTTTATGCTTCATATAAAGATATGAATCTTGAATCTAAAGAGATAAATTGTTGGAATTCAGCAATATCTCTAATACACACAATGCAAGGACAGTCTAGGAAGGCAAAATCAAAACATGTTTATTGTTACTTTTTTTTCATTGGATATCTCTTCCTTAGTAGCATAATGCATAGCACAATTCTCTTTTGAAGCAAGTCACTTTATTTACAGTGTGATAACAAAGTTCTACCAACACATCTTGGCTTTAGTGTTTGCTGTGAAAGAGATCAACAAGGATCCTCACATCCTGCCCAACATCACTCTTGGATTCCACATCTATGACAGTTACTCTGATGCATTAATGACCTATCGTACTACTCTGGACCTGCTTTTTAAGTTGCATAAAATTGTCCCCAACTATATTTGTGGGGCTCTAAATAAAATTATGGGAGTCATCGGAGGGATGAGCCCTGAAACTTCCATACGCATGGCAGAAATTTTGCAGCTTTTCAAGATCCCACAGGTTAGACCCATAAATAAAAATCTCAAAATTATAACAATCACACAGATGGTCTGCTTTGGATTTCCCCTTCAAGAAGCAACTTGATGGTTATCAGTAAAGAGACATAAAGAAATTAGGATAAATAGAAATAAAGAAATTAGGGTAAAGTGTGGACTTTGATTAATCCATGTTTCTCTTTAATATATAGCTGCTTTCAGTAAGATACAGAATTTTAGTGCATAGCTGTTTGAACCTCCAGGCTAATGCTAGCTGTCATCAACTGCCTCATTGATTTCAATTCATATATATTAAGCATAATGTACACAAACATCTGTGTTTTATAAAATGTGGGGGACAATACATGGAAGAAATATTGACCTGGGAAGAACTAAAGGATTTGATTCTTTAAATTCAAATAGAGGTAATCATCGACTTACAACCACAATTGAGCCCAAAATTTTTTATTGCTAAGTTAACTTTGTTAAGTGAATTTTGCTCCATTTACGACCTTTCTTACGGCCACAATTCTTAAGGGAAACACTGCAGTTGTTAAATTAGTAACCCAATTGTTAAGTGAATCTGGTTTTCCCATTGACTTTGCTTGTCAAGAAGGTCGCAAAAGGTGATCACATGACTCCAGGACAATACAATGGTCGTAAATGTGAGTCGGCTCCCAAGTGTCTGACTTTTTATCATGTGACCATGAGGATACTGCTATGGTCGTGTGAAAAAGTCATAAGTCACTTTTTTCAGTGCCGCTGTAACTTTGAAACAGTCACTAAATGAACTGTTATAAGTTGAAGTCTACATGCACTTAAATTACCTTTAAGAAAAAGATTTGAAATGATGATGACTATAATTATGATAATACTATAGATAGACAGACAGACATATAAGATTCAAAAATGATATCTCCATTTTGGGGAGATCATGGAACAAAATAAAAAAATTAAGCATCCATATTTTTAAAAATAAAGTGGTTTAAATCAATAAAAATGTATCTTTCTCATCGTTCTTCCTTTCTCGCACTCCTCCTTTCTTTTCTTTAGATTTCATATGGATCATTTGAATTGGCAGTGACTGATGAATCGCGTTTCCCCCCTTTTTATCGCATGGCCCCTGATGAAACTCTCCAGTACAAGGGTTTAATCCAGCTCCTTCTCTACTTTGGGTGGAAATGGGTAGGATTTGTCATTGTCGATGACAAACATGGAGAACATTTCATACAAACCCTGGAACCCATGCTCTCGCGAAATAAAATCTGCTCCGAATTCACCGAAAGAGTTGACAGAAATTTTCATTTTTATCAACTCTTTGAAATGGTCGAACGGACGGTGAGCCACGTTGCTGTGTTCACAGAGAAAACAGCTAATGCCGTTATTATACATGGAGAAAATATAGTCTTTATGTGGCTGGCCTCTACTCTATTGGTGACCAAATTTTTTCCTCTGACAACTTCTAATTTTTCACAACAATATTCTGCAAGCAAAGTGTGGATCACGATGGCTCAAAATGATTTCACATTACATTCCTTACAAAGAGCTGTTGATATGCAAATGTTCCATGGGGCTATTTCCTTCTCCATTAGCAAAAAGGAACTTCCAGGTTTCCAACCGTATATACAGACTGTCACCCCTTCTGGGGCAAATCAAGATGGCTTTATTAAAGATGTCTGGAAACAAGCTTTTGGCTGCTCAGTATCAAATAATGATTTTTCTGAAGATGAAGAATGCACTGGAGAAGAAAAATTAAAGGACCTTCCTGCACCCTTCTTTGAAACCGGCATGCTTGGCCATAGTTATAGTACCTACAATGCCGTCTATGCTGTGGCTCAAGCCTTACATACTGCTTACACAATTAGGACACATCAGAACTTACGAAAGGACAGGGATCAAGTGCAATCAAAGATTGTAGAAGCCTGGCAGGTAAGATTTCTCTTTATCAATGTTCTTTAAAAAGATTCTCTATAGTTACAGCCGAGTAGCAGGACTTAAGGAAATAAAGAGTGCAGAGAAGAGCAACAAAGATGATCAGGGGACTGGAGGCTAAAACATATAAGGAACGGTTGCAGGAACTGGGTATGTCTAGTTTAATGAAAAGAAGGACTAGGGTGACATGATAGCAGTGTTCCAATATTTGAGGGGCTGCCACAAAAAAGAGGGAGTCAAGGCTATAGGGTTTCCTGCTTGAGTAGGGGGTGGACTAGAAGACCTCCAAGGTCCCTCCCAACTCTGTTATTCTGATTTTTTTTATTCCTGGGAGGGGGGAAGACTCCAAATTTTAAAAACAGGTGTTATTTGAGATCATTAGGAAGTGTATTTGTTTCTCTTTAAGCCTTATACTTTTTTTCTGTAAGCTCCACCCATTTCTGCAGAGAATTTCCTTCAATAACAATGTTGGAGATGAAATTAAATTAAATGAAGATGGAGCATTACAAGCTGGATTTGACATTGTAAACCTGGTCACTTTCCCAAACAACTCTTATATTAACATCCCAGTTGGAGAAATAGATCCACAAGCTCCTTCAGGAAAATCCTTCCTCATTCATCAAGACAAAATCCAGTGGCATCATGAATTCACTCAGGTACCATAACAATAACATGGGCTAAAAGAACCGAGTTAATATACACTGCTTTTTACACCCCTAGCCTTTCCTTTAGCCCATAGTTAGTTTAGCCTGTAGATAGTTCCTTTAGCAACTATCTTATAGGCTCCAAGTCCAGTTTGCTCCATCTATGGCAAAGGTGTGCAAAAGCAGGTGTATTATTGGACTGTTTAATGGTAGATATTCTCATTCTTTAGAGTTTCCAAACCTGTGCAAAGAAATGTATTTTCCCCCTACTGAATGTGGGATCTACAGCATCAGGTTGCAGAACAGAAGGAAGTATTGTTATCTAAACCTTCATTCCTGATAATAGAATTATTTATTGGTAAAGTGTAATTGAACACACAAGGAATTTGTCTCCGGTGCTAAGCTCTCAGTGTATATACAAACAACTGAGTNATAAGTCATAGGTCATAAATCATAAGATACAAACAACTGATAAATCATAATATACCAATAGGAGAACCATAGTATGAGTTACAAATTTTTAAAAGTATATAAAGACAAGGAACCATACTAAGACACAAAGCAATACAAAAGAGCGGAGACAGTAGAGAAAACAACCTAGATTTGAACAAAGAAAAAACAGAAAAGTTTATCCATCTTCTTTGTCAACGGTCTGGGTAAATAGCACATTTTCAGACTTTTCAAACAAACATAGGATGGGGGCCACTTGAATTTTGGAGAAGCTTTATTCCAGATGGCAGGTGCTGATAAAGAGAAGATGCCCTTCCACGGTCCCAATAAATGGCATTGTTAAATTGATGGAACCCAGACTGTGCCAACCATGCTAGATCAAACCAAACAGGCAGATACTATGGGGGACAGGCAGTGCCTCGTGTAATACCAATATCACTTAAATTTATATTTCACTTCACTGTGCTTAACAGTCCTCTCTAAGTGGTTTACAAAGTAAGCATATTGCTCCCAACAATCTGTGTCCTCATTTTACCAACTTGGGAAGGACTGAAGGCTGAATTCTGAGATGGTCAGGATCAGAGAAATCGAACTCCTGGCAGTGAGCAGTGAGTTAGTCCGCAATACTGCATTCTAACCACTGCACCACCACTGCTCTTCAGGGCCTATACTTTTAGGGTTTTATAGTTAGTAACTGACACCTTGAATGTGGAAGAATTGGGGAAATAATCAACTTTAGATATGCATATGGAATGTATTTCATTCATTAAACTTCAACTAAACTAAAAAATAAATGAAATACATCTTCCTGGTTTCAGCCACCTTTCCAAGGTTAAATTGTCTGAGCCTGCTTCATGGCCTGGCTGGCTGTCACCAACTTCATTCTTACTCATTGGCTATAAGACAAAAATAAAACAAAAACCAAAAGGTTAATACTGACCACTTTCTTTATTTGGGGATAGCTACCTCCTGTCTCGTTATGTAATAATCCTTGTCCTCTTGGAAAAAGAAAGAACAAGATCGAAGGGCGGAAGTTTTGCTGCTATGCTTGTGCTTGGTGTCCAGAAAAGATGATATCCAGACAAATGGGTAAGAGTCATAGCATCTTGTCTGAAAGTTCATTTCTGCAGCCTGGTTTTAAAAAAAATTCTTCCGTATTATTGCTTGGTTTCTTGATGCGCTTCAAGCCAGCTTGTTCACCATTTCCTAGCTTGAATAATGAAATCTGAAGATGTTTATGTTAATGGCCGCTAAACATTAAAAACAAAGGAACATCTCTCAGGTATGGTATCCTTCAGCCATCCTGATTGCATTGAAAGAGGAGCTAAAAGAATGTTCCTTTGTTTCATTTTATCTCTAGTCATTGGTCTGGTCAATTAGAAGAAGTCATACTATCTCTGTTTTTGAAAACATTTAAACAGAACACAGTAACTATGGATAATTCAATGCCCTGAAAAATAGCATGTCTCTCTCTCTCTCTCTCTGTGTGTGTGTGTGTGTGTGTGTGTATCCCTTTTCTTTTTGTATTAATAATATCACTATATCAGTCTTCTTTTTATATTATTTTATTATTATTTTTAAAAAACATATATATATAAACTAACATAAATTTTCAGTTGAAAGAAAAATAAACAAATAGAGACAGAAAGATAAGAAGAAAAGGTATTAATAGATAGATAAATAGATAGATAGATAGGGAGAGAGAGAGAGAGAGAGAGAGAGAGAGAGAGAGAGAGAGAGAGAGAGAGAGAGAGAGAGAGATACAAATTCTGACTTCCAACTTCTTCTTCCAAGGATATAAGAAACACTTAAATTCAGCTCTAAAACTATCATATAATGTGCATTTTAACAGTTATCAAATCCATCAAGTCATAATTTGGTGGGTTTTTTAACACTTTTTAACACTTCCTGTAAAAAGTCCATAAAAGGCTTTCAATTATAGAGGAATTTCTTCAGTGATTTTTCTCTCTCAAGAACTATTAATTTTAGCCATCATTGCCAGTCCTGACCTTAGCTAACCATTCTCTTGATGTGTGTATCGCATTGTGCTACCGTATTCACACATAAAACTAAAGCACCGTGTGCCTTTTTTTGCCACCACTTTATCCACGAATCGTAATATAAAAATTTATATTAATTTTTAAATTTTATTGAATTAAATTTTAATTTCATCCAATATTGCTCGGCTTTTTTGCAACTCTCTACCAAGGGTACTAAAATGTTTCTACTTGAGTTTTATTTTCACTTAAAGTAGGATGAAATCAGAAACCTGGAAGGAAAGCAGCATGAGTTGATTATGGGGGAAGTCATTTTCAGGGATCGTTAAAGCAAAATGTTGCACACAGGACATAAGGACAGGCCATCACAACAAGCAAAAACCTACAATTGCTCAAAATAGAGGGGAATTATTAGTTTGTGATGAACCAATACAAATGGGTTCTTCTCTTCCAGTATAATCATATATTCACACAGGAAAAAAAGATGTCAGTGACATCTTCTAGCCCACAGGTTGGCAACCTGCGGCTCCAGAGCCGCATGCAGCTGAGCCTTCCCCTGTGGCTCCCAGCTTCCTCTGCCATTTGCAGAGAGAGACAGAGACA